GTCACAGAGCCAGGCACCATCCTGAAACCTTGAGCATGTTAACCTGTGCCTTCGTAGCGGCCCTGTGGTAGTACCGTCAAACACCCAATTCTCGCCTCTCAGGTGACAAATGGCAGCTTTATCTCTGGGCTTTGCCCGCTCTCCCAAGGCCCAAACCTGGGCCCTCAGGCTGTCAAAGCCTACCTTTCCGGCCTCTGAAGGCCTAGGCCCACCCCTTCCCAACTGTGATTGGCTGAGCCCCTTCACTTTTTGTGAAGGACTCAAACCCAGAAAGGCCTGCCAGAAGTTTCTGCTCCTCCAGCCCTCACTCATGAGCTTAAGTGGCTTAGTACCTACAGAGTCTCGTTCCTGACCCCAAACCAGAGAGTACCCTGAGAATCAGGAGGGCAAGGGCTGGTTAGAGAGTAGCCTGAGAACCAGGAGGGCAGGGGCTGGTTAGGCAGGGTTGTAGTGAAAGGACAGGGTAAAGACCCCTCAGCTGTCCTGGCAGGATACGCTCCCACACGTTAGCATGCTGCCCAGGTGTGTTTCAGGCATCTTTCCAGGAGTGAGCCACATTCCAAATAGCATCTTTCTTGTGAGGTTGGGAGGAGTTTGAGTGGGAATTGCCCTGGGAAGCATCTAAAGGGACCCAGGTGGAAGAAGTGTGAGCTACTGGCATCCTTATCCACCTGGCATCCCTGGGGGAGCTGGCAGTAGAGAAAGGCCCATGCTCTGTGTCTTTAAGATGGTGGTGTCTCCGCCTGGAGAAGCTTCATGGTCCTGGACATCTCCGGGTGTCTGGAGGTAGGAGTGGAGTTATTGAGGATAAAGGGATGGAAGATCAGAGAGGGCACTGAGTGCAGACATCAATCCCCTTTGCCAGGGCCAGCTCTCTCTGCCATCACAATGGTGGGCTGCAAAAACCCACCCCAATTGGATCCAGGATCCTCAGCCTTGCTCCTAACTAGAAAGCCTTGCTCCTAACTAGAAGTTCGAAGAAGCCAGTTTCTGAGGCTGGTCTGGCTGGAGTCTTAGGGTTAGGGTTGGAAGAGCAGCGAGGGCTTTGGCTTCATGGGGGAATGTGGAGGGCAGAGGGACTGTGGAATGGACACTTTGAGCATAGGTGGGTGGGTGGGTCTCAAAGAGCCAGGTGGAAGATGACCTCCGTTCAGCCTCTGTCTTGCAAAGCCTCTTGTTTGACCTGGAAACCCTCCTTTCATGAACTACTCTGGCCATTAGCCTGTGCCTTCCCTACATCCAGCGTGCTGCCACGGGCCCTCCTGCCTTCTGGCCTGTGCAGTTGTCTGCTCTTCTGGGGAGCTAGCCATGTTCCCCTCTGTACTAGGAATGTTCCTGCACCCCCTTCTCTTCTGGCATGGAGAGACCCCGCCTTATTGAGTCTCTCAGGGTCTTATGGAGTCCTAATGTGGACTGGGCCCTGCCCAACTCTAATTGGTGGGTTCATGGCTCTGCCGTGATCCTAACCTTGAGGGTGACTCTTGGCTGCTGGGGAGGCCAGTGTATTTAGAGGTATTGAGAGAGGACAGGTAGAAGACACAGGGGGCGCAGGAGTGTGGAACTGGATCCTGATTCCTGTTATGTAGGAAAAAGGCCGGGAAAAATGGCCTTGAACCTAAGACACACGTCAGTTGAGCCATGAGGCCTAACTGGGGGACAGGGAATGTTAGCATGAACCTTCAAATAAGCTGTCCTTAGCCAGCTCATAGCTTACATGGGCAACTGGATAGACAAATGACCAGACCATCCACCCATGGCAAACCTGAGCTGAGGTTTGATGCCAGGGTTCTAGTTCCAGGTGCCACCTTCAGATGGCACCAGCTGGCATAGAAAGCAGCTTGTTTGGGGCGAGAGCTGCAGGAGCTATAGGGGAGAACGATGGGTGCAATGGTTGGGTGATAGGAATGCCTGTGGCCAGCAGGGCCTTGCAGAGGCCTTGGCTGACCAGCTGTGGGGTAGGACTTCCCCAAGCAATGGGACCTATAAAGGACTTCCAGTGGGAGAATGAGTGACAGACAGCCTGGAAACCCCGGATGTGATGGGACTTGAGTCCCCCTCCTAACTGCCCTTGCACTTAGGGCACGATGGTCCTGGAGATTGCCGTGGGACCCTTGGCTTCTCTTCTGGGGAAATCTGAGAGGAGGCAGGGGTGCCTTACTTTGCCAAACAAAGCTTAGAAAAGCTTTAATTTCATTTAAAAAAAATGTATCCCTCAAGACAGTCAGATAGCTATACTGTAGAAAAGTCATAAAAGACAGAGATATAAAGTACATCAACCCGCAGCCCCGTCTCTGCCCTGTTCCAAACCCCAAACATCCCCACGGTTAGCATTTGGCGCCTCCTTTCTCCCAGCATCTAGTCTTGGGTGTGAGTCTTTCATTGTCCTCTTGGCTCTCAGCATCTAGTCTTGGGTGTGAGTCTATCTTTCGTTGTCCTCCTGGCCATGTATCATAAATATCTCCTGACTGCCCACGGAACGTTATCAACCATGCTTTTTAGTGGGTGTGGCAGCCTGGCCTCCAGATCCCTTATAGTCTGGATCAGAACCCCACATTCCCTGCTTGGCTTTGGGCAGCTCCTTAGTCCCTCTGTGCCCCTGGTTCCTCTTAGGCCCATGCACATGCTGAACAAGTCACAACAGTGTCACTGTGGACTGTCACCGAGGAGATCATTTCAGAGCTCTCTCCCTGTTGCTTGTTCAGGGTTTTTTAATCATAAAAACCCAGGGACACAAGCAGTGTTGTGCATGGATCTTTGGGTTGTTTCCTAGGGATGGATGACCAAGCCTGGGCACACTAGGCCCGGAGGACTGACGGTTTTTCGAGCTCTTGACACATTATGGGTAGATTCTTTCCACAAATGCTCCTGGTGTGCATGCCCACTGACCGTGCCAACCCCATCACATCCTCACCAGTATCGGGCGGTAGCATTTCCGTCGTCTTTTTGCTCCTTTGGCGGGAGGAGCTTGTTGACTTTTCTTGGCTGGCGAGGCAGAACCGTTGACTGTGTTCACTAGCTGTTTACATCTTTAGGGTCAGCGCACCTGCAGCCCCTCCTCATGTCAGTCAGAATGAGATCAGGTAGATGTGGGCTGCAGGACCGCGGTGATACTGGGGCCACTCAGAGGGGAGGACACTTTCTTCTGTCCAGGTTGTAACGTTTTCAGTTCCCTTCACTGGTCATGCATCTACACTGTCTGTTCGTCCATCCATTCATCTTTCCTTCCTTCCTTCCTTCCTTCCTTCCTTCCTTCCTTCCTTCCTTCCTTCCTTCCTTCCTTCCTCCTTTCGGGCTCCAGATGGCTGCTGGCTTAAAAGGCCTCCTATCCTTTCTCTTGGAGCACCATGTCTACAGATGGCTAAGAAAACACAGGTGTGGGAAATGCCCTGATGATGGACATGCAGGACACACAGGGGACAGACCCCATATGTTTCCAGGAAGAAGAGCCTGTGCACCAGGACCCATAGGAAGAGTTGGGATCATTCCTCCCCTTCAAGGATGCCAGGAGTAGCCCTGGCATCCTTGACGGGGAGGAAGCAAGAGGGGAAGTGAACCTGTGGGGCTGTCATTCTGGCTGCTCAGTGTACAGTGGGACAAGCAGTAAGGCCAGAGGGTAGTAGGAGCTGGTCCCATATGACCCAAGTCAGTCTCACTGTGTCTGCAGTAAGGAACCATGGAAGTTTCTGGGCAGGGCAGGACGCAGTGACTGCAGTAGAGCTTAGGGTAGGCTGAGGGTGGAGATGGAGAACCTGCTGGAGGTGGGGGTGGGGCTCCTGCTGAAGCCAGAGCTGAAGGCCTGGACCAGAGTTCTAGGACCTGTGGAATCTTAGTCAGGGTCAAAGTGCAGATTGTGTTGCCTCTTTCAGGAAGCCCTCCTGACATTCCACTGCAGCTGGGTTTAGGATCGGGTGAAAGGCCCCATGTGTGGCTCTGGTGTGCCCCCATCAGCTGAGCTGACTTTCCCATGAGCCTCCTCACTTTTCCTCCCCTTAGGCTCCCAAGCACTTTCTTTCTTTAAATAATAAATTTATTGTTTTCATTTTAAAAGAAATTGAATGTCATGACTGAGAATTTGGAAATCAGAGAAACAAAGACCAACCCCAAGCAGCGGAGGCTAGCACCTCCCCCTGGGCACCCGGCCCTTGTGGGCGTGGTTCCCTGAAGCCTCCTTATAATCACAGATTCTTGGCTGTTAGGGTCCTGCTCCTCCCACTTCCCCATCCCTACCCATCCATCCGCATCCCCTTTGCTTTGTTGGAAACCTGCTCCCATGTGGCCATGGGGACGAGGCAGATCTCAGTTTTAATGTCTGTGGCTTTGGGAGGCGGGGCCTAAGTTGTTGAACCGACAACACTCACTTCCTCCACCCTGGCAGCAATGCCCCCCTCCATCCCGCTCTCTACCACCCACCTTGGGCTGTGTGTCCTCTGTGTCTCCCGGTCTGAGTCTGTGCTGTACCCATGGGGCAGAGCCTGGCACCCAGTGTGCCCTTCCCTCAGTTATCCCTTCCTTCTGGAGTTTGCTAGACTAGCCTCAGAGGCTTTCTGGGAAAAAGTGTCAGAAGGGATCGGCTTTGAGATCTGTACTTGGCTCCATAGCCTCAGCCAGGTTGCTTAGCCTCTCCGGACCTCAGTTTCTTCATCTGTACCATGGGTCTGTTGTTGCAGTAAGTAGTGGCTGTAAATTGCCTGCTCAGTTCCCAGCCAGGTGAGGTACTGGGTAGCATCCTGCCTGGGAAGAGCTCAAGGATTCTCCAGTCACCCCAGAGTGCATGTGACCCTGTAGGGGGCTGGGCGGGCATCCTTCCTCCCTCACTCACTTGCTGTGTGGCTGGGCAGGTTGACTGCCGTCTTTGAACTGTATTTTCTGGTACTTGCTCATTTCACAAAGTCGTTGGGAAGACTCAATAACTCGAATCATCATCTGCTCAGCACATTGGTGTTTCAATCAACGGTAGCTGTCATTTTATTATTGTTGTTATTGTTATTCCCATATACAAGGTGCTGTTGGGAACACAGAGGAAGTGACTGACTGGGGTTCAGGGAAAGCTCCGTAGAAGAGGGAACACTTGAGCTGGGTCTTGAAGGATGAGTAGAAGTTCACCAAGTGGGAAAGGACCCTCTAGGTAAGGAACCTGTGATTCTAGGCTGTGGGTCTGTGAATAAGGGGCTTGTTCTTTGGGGACCAAGGCATTGTGTTCATAAATGACCTGCGTGCCCCTCACTGCTGTCCTCTGGGGGTGTTGTGGGGGAGGTATGCTTGCCCTTTTAGTGTTGGTGGCTTTGGCTTCCTGTGTCCGTGGATCCGTGCTGTGGCCACAAGTCTGTGTCTGTTCCCTGTGTGGGTTTGGTGCTGTCTGCATGTTGTGTTGACCGTGTTTGTCTCTGTCAGTGTCCAGAGATCTGGGCCACATTGTGGGGACAACCTATATAGTACCCTGGCTACCAGCTCCCCCAAGTAGCCAGGCCCCTTTGGCCATCCCCCTCTGGGCCAGGTGCAGCCCTAGCCTCACACCTCTAATTGGGAATTCCCCTGCCACCAACTCCTGGCCTCTCTAGAGCCTGCTATATCTATCTGGTAGTCTCTTACAAATTGCCCGTTCTACCTACTCACCTGCTGCTGCTAACGTCCAGACACTGGGCCTAGGAGCTAGGGATCAACTCTGAGCAAGGCCCTGGCTGACAGTTCAGGCTCATCTCTGTTTGCCAGTCTTTAGGGGAGGCCACACACCCCTCACACCAGGGCACTGCTGCCCACGGACATTAGCTGGCACTGCCACTTCTACCCGAATTCCTGCCCCGTCTGTTGGCTGACTCCCACTCACCCTAAGAAACTCAAGGCAGGCCTCATCTCCCCAGTCCTCCTTGGCTCACTCCTGCAGCCTAGGCCAGCCCCTAGGCAGCTTATCCCTTACCTAGGTGAGTGATTTGTCCAAGGACAACACGTCCAGAGAAGTGGGATCAGGATGACCAGAGCCTGCTGTCCCCTGCGGGGAGGGAGGTACTCACAGCCGGGACTGCTGGGGTGGCAAAGGTGGATTGGAGCACGTGCAGACTGACGGCCTCCCAACCCATCTCAGCGGTGGCTGGTCTGAGGCAGGAGGGTCACTGTGTGCCTGTGACCTGCTCAAAAGTGGGTGACTGGAGGAGGGGCTTGCCACTGGAGAAAGTCAAGGTCAGCACCCGCTGAGTCAGAGCAGCTTCCGAGAGACAGCCTGAGGGAAGGGCAGGGCCCCTGGGAGCTGGGCCTAAACTCCAGGTGGAGGCTCAGGCTTCTAAGTACTCAAGTAGATGGGCTGAGCTGCTAGGGGAATAGGGGTCCTGTTCCCCCACTGTGGGGGGGAGGTTGTGAAAGAGAACTCTTCAAGAAGGCAAGAAACCCCAGACACACAGAGACCCCCTAATGGGCCCAGGTGGCTCTGAAGGGAGTGGTCTGGTGATGTGTAGAAGGCCTCATAGGTGGAGCTCTTACCTGTGAGTCTCCATCCACTGTTTGGGAAGACGAGGTACGTCGGCTTGGCCCTGGGTTCCCCAGTGCTAGTCCCTGGTTGGCCCAATGTCTGTGAAGCAGCTCCAGGAGACATGCCATTTACCCAGAGTTAACTTCCTTTACCTTTTAGAACAAGAAAAACAAATGGCAGTTGTGGGTGGATTGCAAGGGCCAGGGTCAAGGTGGGTGGCTCCTGGCTCCCAGTCTAGGTTTTTGCCCAGTGCTGAAGGCCCCAGCTGACTACCAGTGCCTCTCCTCTGCCTGCCCAGCATGGACACGCAGCCCCGGCAGGCTTGATCCCTGCCTCTACCCCAGTCTGCTTCCCCTTGACCTCGGCACCCCCTTGGTCACATGGTCCCCTTGGCCCAGCATGCTCCTTGTCGCCTTCCCACCGCTGGCATCCCATTTCCTATCTCACTTTGGCATTCAAGGCCCAGGAGCTGGTCTGTGTCCCATAACACTGCAGCACCGGAAAGGTTCATCCTTTTCCACGTTGCTGCACCCCCATCCTTCTCCATCTGTTCTGAATGCTTACCTGTTTTTGCCGCTCTCCTTCCTCGGAGCAGGGCTTACCCACAAGCAACGGTGAGAGCTCTGTACACACTCAGGCTCTATTCTGCCTCCTGTCTCTGGCGTACAGTGGGTGGATACCAGGGCTAGGGTCATGGAGACTCAGAACTGGAGAAGGCAGAGAGGAGAGGGCTGTGCGGAGCAGACTTGGTGCTCTGGGCAAAGCTTCCCTTTGATGTGCCAGGCTCTGCAGCTAAGGCAAGGGCTATCCCTGGCTACTCAGCGGCTTGATAAATGGTACTGTCTACTTTATTCCAGGAATGGGACCCTGGGCATGCCTTCAGCTCCCTAACTGGGGTGGGATCTGGGAAGGTTAAACTCGGCCTTGAATCAGAGAGGAGGAAAATGAAGAGGAGAAGCCTAGTACAGTGGATAGAGTCCTGGGATACGGCAGCCACTGTCACCCCATCTTACTGAGGAGGAAAACAGCTCACGGGGCTGTATCTAGGCCTGCCCCTACCTTTCTCTGCAGTCTGAGCAGGGCTCCCTTCTAATGGCTGATGAGAGGGTCCATGGATTGGGGACAGAAGGTCTTCCCAGCTTGCCCTCCTCCTGGGTTTCTAAAGAGCTCTCCAAGGGGTCACATTGTATACTGAGCCACTAGCAAGCAGGTAGGCTTGCTTTTCAGAGAATTTGGAATCTTAGTCTCCATTCCTTCATGCAATTCACATGTGTACCTGTTCCCAAGATACCTTTGGTTAGCTCCCAGTCTCCCCACCTCCCCTCCCTACCTTGTGTCCGCTCATGAAGTGACAGTTATGCCACCCTAAGGCAGGACACCACCACAAGCCTACCGCTAGAAATTGTCTCCTCTCCCTGAACAGTTCAGGGGCCAATGCACCGGACTCGGAGTCAGGCGAGGCTAATGGAGTCTCAGTGGTATGCTCCCTTGCTGCGTGATCTTGAGCCAGTCACTCTGCCTCTTCTAAAAGTGGGCATGGTGAGAGTCCCTGCTCTCGGTGCCAGTGTGCCTGGCGCAAGGTGGGCACTAACTGGCAGCCTCCTCTCTGGAGTCTTGCTTTGATGTTTTTCTAGGGGAGTGATCCCAAAGGCGTGGGGGCAGTCAGGGAGCTATCCAGGCAGACCATAGCTTTTTGTCTGTAAGAGGCTGCCATGGAGTTTAATGGGCAGAGGGAAGGGCCTCCTAAGCTGTGGGGACCGAAGACTGACCGGATGGGAATTGTCCCAGTTACCGCCACCCCCAGCCTCTGCTCCCACCTAGAGAACTGAGACCACTCTCTCCCCAGGTAGGGAGTGAGGGGTGAGGCCTTCAGCAGGGCTTGCTTCCTTCCGGAGACTTCTGTTCGGCTGAGGACTAGCGTTTACAAAACAAATGGCCAGGGGAAACAGTTTGGGTAATCTGGCTTCCCAGTTTAAGGATCGCTGGGCAGCCTCCACCTTCTCCCCAAGCTCTGATTCCTTCACCCAACCCAAGAGCTAAGGCTGCCCTTTGTGCCTGTTTATCAAGTAGAGGTCACAAAGGTGAGACATATAAACATTCTTTCGGAAAGCACTTAGGGTAGACTGTGTGCCCTGGGGTGGGAGGGGGCTTTCACCTCAAACTCTACCACGATTCTAGCAGGGACTTCTCAAGTTCACTGGAAGGAGCAGAAGAGGTTTTAGGCATTTCTTTTTGGTCTAAAGCTGCAGTACCCGGTAGGGAAGAGATTTTGGAAGGATCACTCAGTCAACGTGGCGAGAAAGCAATTAGTACCCCGTGCAGCCAGTCCCTGGAAGTCATTTCTTAACTCCGTCTAGAGTCACAGAAAACCCATTCCCCCACACTTCCCACCCTAGAGGGCAGAGCCAGTTAGTCTCAAGGGTCTGTCCTTGGTATTGACCTGCCCTGATTGAAAAGGCTCTCAAGCCCACAGATTGCCATGGAACTTGCCAGCGGTGGAGGCCACCAGTACCCTTGTCACACTCTGTTGACCCCTGGACTCCCCAGCCTCCTCCCCTTAAGCACAGCACTCTGTCACTCCCAACTTTGCAGGTCAGACATACCTGTCTACCTGTCCGTGCCTGAATTTTCCAGAGTATAATTCTTGAGTCAAAGGGAATGCTTATTCTGGCCTGTGTAAATTCTCCGACCACCTGCCCTTTAGAGAGGCTGTATCTTTGCCCCATCTTGTGTATCCTGATAAGGATGTCTTCCCTCAGGGAGGAGGCAGAAGGGCAAGGATCCCGAATGGGTAGATTCTTCTGCTTTGCGGCTGTTTACAGAGGTGTTCCCAGGGATCTCCAGTGGTCTCTGGAGGGGAGAGTTCTGTGTAGGGCCCACGGGCTTGGCTCTAAAACCTAGGGGATGGAAACTGGCCTGGAAGCATGGGGGGCTCGCAGGTACTGGGAGCACGCTGGTCTGAATGTGACCTTTGCCCCTTCAGGTCCTCCCAGGGAGACACTGAATTCCTGACTTGTCAACCTGGGGATGTGGGTCTCTGGGTCTGATGGGAGGCCCACTTGACTGAGGAATTTGGGTCTCAAGGGATAAGGAGATCTCATAGTTGATAGTGACAGACGCTCTCTCTTCCTGCAGGATGGCCGAACCTCGATTTAACAACCCCTACTTCTGGCCCCCTCCTCCCACCATGCCCAGCCAGGTAAGACTTCTGCTCCCGCTGCCCTCCAAGGTGGAGCTGCTATGCTTTGCCTGGAGTTCGGACTGTAGCTTGTGCCCAGAAGGCCCTGGAGTGCGGCCACCCATCCCAACCTGGCTCCTCTCCTTTCTGCAGCTGGACAACCTGGTCCTGATTAACAAGATCAAAGAGCAGCTGATGGCGGAGAAGATCCGGCCACCTCACTTGCCACCCACCTCAGCCTCATCCCAACAGCCACTGCTAGTGCCCCCCGCGCCCGCCGAGACCAGCCAGGCCGTCATGTCACTGCCCAAGCTGCAGCAGGTGCCAGGGTTGCACCCGCAGTCTGTGCCGCAGCCCGATGTGGCGCTGCACGCTAGGCCGGCCACCAGTACCGTCACAGGTAAGCTGAGTGGGTGGAGTCTGTGAAGTGGGCGGGGCTGTCAAGATCTGTAGAGAAATGTTGGGGCAGGATCTGGTCCAGTTGGGACTTGGTGAGGGTAGGACCTGACCAGATGAGAACAGGGTGGGTGGGATCCGGGGTTGTAGGGGAAGCTCGGCAGAGGGGCTAGTGGGTGCTAGCCACAGCCCCCAGGCTTCCTCTGACCCTGAACTGTGAGAATTCCTTCCTACAGCTGAAAGCTCACGTGGAAAGTGAGATCCACAGATATAGGAGACCAGAGGCCTTCCAATGGAGAAGAAAAGGAAAGGCTCAAGGCAGACTAGGGCGGTGGAGCAGAAGGGTGGAAGGCCCTAGCAGAGGGAGCAATGGGTAGGCGGCCAGGTTGTTCAGCTGGGGCGGACCGGTGGATTCTGATGACTTCACCAGGCCGTGACTTCACCTATGTGTGCTTAGTAACAATCCTTCCTCCCAGCAGCCTGGTGATGGGGTTTGCCAGTGCTGGGTTGAAGAGCAGACAGTGTTTGGTCCTAAATCAGCATCTTCATGCAGTCCCGCCGGCTGTCTCCGTTCAGCCGAGGGGAGAAGCCAGGCAGAAGGCACCGTGTTCCACACTCAGCAATTTGGACTTTACCCCGGGGGCACTGGGGAGCAAGCTGGTCTGGTCAGGAGGTGGAGACAGGGTTCTGGGACCAGCACGGGTGCAGGGAGAGCTTCTGGAGGAGATAGTGAGGTGGACCACGCAGTGGCTGTGGGGATGCGGAGAAGTGGGTAGATCTTAGGGTGAGAAAGAGCAGAGAGGCGTCCGTGCTGGACAGGGTGTAGAGAGTGAGGAGGAGATGCACGAGAGACTGCTGGGATGGGACTAGCTCTGTGTTACGTGTTATGTAGGTTGAGACTGGGGGTCCCTCTTCAGAGCCCCGGGACAGACTTGCTCAGGAGTCCACCGAGACCGGGCCTGCGCCCTCAGTGGCTCACCCCTGCCACCAGCCAAGTGCCTTTCTCCTGCTTCTCTTTGAGATGTCCCGACAGTTGTGGGCCCTGTGAGCCTCCCTAGGCCCCAGCTGCACTCTGCACATCTCCCGTTATTATGATTTTATTAAATTTATTTTTTCATTGTAAAAGTAATATTAAAAAAGCAATATAAGCATATTAAGGGAAATTTGGAAAAAGGAGGAACTAAGAAAAAAAAAATCGCTCATCTTCCCTAGTGCCTAACCTAACCCAGAATCATAGACACTCTTTCAGTGATTTTTTTTCCTTTTCCATATTTTTTGTTTTTTTTTTTAATATGCTGTTTGCTGTTTGTGGCAGGGCTGTGTCAATAATTTAACTTTTTTTTTTCCTATTTGCCATTCTATTCTAGACATCTTTATTGCACATTTACTGTAAAGGTAATAACATGGTCATTATGAAAATGTAGACATTTCAGAGAACCCGGAAGGAGAGGAGAACTAGCCCTAGTTCTGCTGTTGTCAGACAGTAGTCTGTTTTCTCTGTAATTTATTTTATTTATTTTATTTATTCTCTAATCACAGATGTTTTAAAAAAGGGTGATGTCACCAAGTAAAAGATTCAAATAATTTCAAAGCAGACAGAGTATGAAAATCCCCGATGACCAAAAATTCCCCTCTCTTGTTAAGGAGAACTGGGTTAGCTGGCGGTAGCATCTGGGGTCCGCCTCCACGTTGGCCCTCACGGTGTAGTGTCTGCACGTGTAGGTAGCATGTGCTTTCTGGGGTAGACGGGCTCGTGTGAGCTTGAGCAGTCCGGCACGTCTCCTGGCAGCGCAGCTCTCCTGTTTTGGTGGCCGTAGAGGCCCCATGTCCATGTCCACAGCCCCTGTTGAGGATGAGCAATTTTTATCATTGTGTGGAATCACGGTTTTGTGTGGAAAGCCCCTGCACGGAGATCTTTGTGCTCATGCGCGATTGTTTCTTTATGGTGTTTTCTAGAAGCAGAATCAATCGCCTGGGTTAAGGGTTATGAGCATTTAAATTTTAATATCTACTGCCCAGCTGCCCTCAGCGGAGGCTGCGTAAGGGCACATCCCTGCTGCCGGTGTGGCACAAACTTTTTTTTTTTTATGCGCAGATTTTGACTTGTTTAAAAATATAGAGAGATGGATATGAAAACAACTGAGTCAGATGAGAAATACTGGCATCATATTTTATCTACAAAGTCGCTATGATGGGTGCTGGTAGCCCCTTCCTTCCTTCTCACGGTGTAGTCCAGGCTGGCCTGGAACTGGCCGTGCCTGTCTCGGCCTCCCAAGTGCATGTATTACAGGCATCTGTTACACCGTCCTTACCTTCGTTTTCCAAAGAATAACTTCTCTCCTGGGCACAGTAGTTCATGTGGGAAACAGGCAAGCGGTTAGGGACTTCAAGGCCAGGCCAGCCTGGGCTACGTGAGACCCTGTCTCAAGAAGCAACAATAAGTAAATAAATAAAAACGGTCATTGGAGAATTTGCAGGGGTTTCGGGGGAGGGTTCTTTTTAAAGCCTCATTGCTGTAGAACCAGAAAACAGTTAAACCATCACTTTAAAAACTGCCCTGCCCCCACACCACATTGGTGCACAACCGGCTGGGCTGTTTGTTTTCCCTGGGCTTGCATACACAGCCTTTTGAAACAAAGATAGTGGGAAGTTCCGACCAGGAGGCTAACCACTGTTTACCCAGCCCTTCCCCGATTTGCATAATTCAGTTGTCTCTGAAATTTTGCTATTATAAATAACATGGAGGTGAATGTCTGTGTGCCTGGGACTTTTTCTGTGGGTGGAATTATCTCTAAAGTGCCTCTTGGTTTCTGTACTGCTGGGGGTCCAACCTAAGGGCTTGTGTGGTACCGGACCAGCGCTCTACCGGTGCTAGGCCTTCAGTCCCCAAACTGCTCCATGATCTAATTTAAGTCAGTCTCAGCTTATCTAAGGCATCTCACACATAGGCTAGCTCTCATTTAGGTACCCCTGAGTAATTCTTTGGAAATGGAGATAGCTCAGAAAGGCAAGAGCTGGGTGGCCTGTGTTGAACTGTTCGCCCGTGTGCGTGTCTTCCCAGGTCTGGGGCTTTCCTCTCGAACCCCCGCTGTGAGTACGTCTGAGTCAACCCCAGGCACCGGCACAGGCACCAGTACCCCATCCACACCTACCACCACCAGCCAGAGCCGCCTCATCGCCTCATCCCCCACCCTCATCTCAGGGATCACCAGCCCCCCCCTCCTGGACTCCATCAAGACAATCCAGGGCCACGGCCTCCTTGGACCCCCCAAGTCTGAACGCGGCCGCAAAAAGATCAAGGCAGAGAACCCAGGGGGTCCCCCTGTCCTTGTTGTCCCCTACCCCATCCTGGCCTCCGGTGAGACCGCAAAGGAGGGCAAGACATACAGGTGAGGGTCTCTTCATACGTGGTCTGGGTGGGGTTGCTTTGGAGATGTATGCCGAGATCTAGAAAGTGGAACCCCAGGGGATAAGGGTGGGGAGCTGAGATTCAAAGAGCGGGGTAGTGTCCCCTCAACATACCTGACCATCAGGGAAGGGGAGGGATAGCGTTTAGCCCCCTCAGAGGTGGTCCAGGGCTGATAGGAGTGCTAAGACTCCTGGTCCTTCTTGCCCCGAGAGAAGTGTCGTTAAAATGTCCAGTGACCTTTTCACAACATGCTATTGCCAGGACGGGGCCTCCAGAAGTTCTGGGGTAGTTGAGTGGAGGTGGGGAGCTAGGCACCTGTACTTGTCAAGAGGTTCCAGAAGATTCTAACACACAGCCGGGTCAGAATGACTTAGCCTGTGAGAACCACCTCGCTAGGTCCACAGGCGTGGCTGCAGGCAGGGCATTTCCTGGCTTCCCTGTGCTTGTGTGTGGCCCTGGTCCCCAGACAGCTGCAGATGTTCCCAGATGCCAGAGCTCCCTCCAGACTAGAAGGTGCCCACACTGGAACTGGCCTTTGTCTCTCCCACGCGGGCCCGTGTCCTCTGGTCTCCGCAGGTAGAATCTGCTCCATGCACAGGGTCTCTTTGCTAGGGAGGGTCTCCCTGGAGATGGACTGGAGTGGGTGGGGATCTTCCCAGGCGTGAAGCTGCCTCTTGCCCGCAGGTGTAAGGTGTGCCCGCTCACCTTTTTCACCAAGTCTGAGATGCAGATCCACTCCAAGTCGCACACAGAGGCCAAGCCCCACAAGTGCCCGCACTGCTCCAAGTCCTTTGCCAACGCCTCCTACCTGGCCCAGCACCTGCGCATCCACCTGGGCGTCAAGCCCTACCACTGCTCCTACTGTGACAAGTCTTTCCGTCAGCTCTCCCACCTCCAGCAGCACACCAGGTAGGTGCTCCCTCCAGTCCGCTGAGGCCCCTCGCTACCCCCTCCCTGCCCCCCTGAGCTCAGCACCTGCCACCTGGTGCTGGAACTGCTGCCGGGAGGGCCAGGGACTTTCAGGTGTCTGTTGCTCCCAGGGTCAAGTCCAGATTTCTCTGAGGAGCCTTTTAGCCCATGCCGATGAAACCCTTCCACTCCACCGAGCTCTGCTGTCACTACCGCACAGCCCTTCTCAAATCCAGGTCTTTGTGCTTAACAGTGTCCTTTACTTGAGACATCTGACCGCCTCCTCTGCACCCTTGGGTTCTACTTCCTCCATCATTACTGGTTCAGGCATGGCTTCTGTGAGCCATTAGGTCCTGAGCATCCAAGGGCCGTTTGTCTCCACTGGATCAGGAGTGGGCTGTCTCGTGCTTGCCTGTGTGTTTTTCTGCTTCCCTCAATATTTTGGGAGCCGTGGAAAGCAAGGGCTCTGTGTCCTGCATTTCTGCATCGCCCGTGGGTGGCAGCACATCTGAGTGTCTAGACATTTGTTAAGTGTTTGTGGACTAGATAGACCTAGTTTGAACAGAGACTATGATTCATCCATTTAACAGACACTTACTGAGCCCATGTGCCACACAGGATTCTAGGAACAAACCAGAGACACCCCTGCCTGGTGGTGCGTGTAGTCTAAGGAGACTTAATGCAGTAAGTGTGTGCAAGGGAGGGCAGACACTAGATACAGGGAGCAGATGAGTTGAAAGAAACAACGGTTTGGAAGATTGTAGTCAGTGTGTTCCGACCAGAAGTACAGCTCGCTCATTTACTAGTCTGAAGGTGAGCTTGGGTGTTAACTACTGTCAGCTGGACCAGCCTCAGCGGAAGGACTGTTTGATTGCGGCGTCTGTGACTACCAACAGCTGAGGGTTTCCTTTCCTGTAAGGAACTAAAGCTGGATAGGAAACTCCGCATTTTATTCTTAGTGCTACTTTAAACATGTCCTGTGGTGTTAGGATCAAACCTGCGGCCTTGTGTGCCGGGTGAGAGTTCTACCTCTGAGCCGTATCCTCAGCCCTAGTAAATTTTGTTGTGGTGCTTTGTTTTTGCTTTGTTTTCTGTAGCAGGGATTAAACCCAGAGCCTTGTGTGTGCCTAGCAAGTTAGCTGCCACGGAGCTACATCCCAGCCCTTTTAAAATGCCCCTTTTCCTTTGAAATAAGAACTTGTTCTATACACAGGCCAACATTGAACTTCCCAGCTCTGCCTCCCTAGTAGCTAGGATTATAGTGTGTGCCACCAGGCCTGGTAACATTTGCGTTCCCTTTGCATCCTTTATCCGCCTTTGCATCCTTTATCCGATGGTGCAAACGTTTTGCCTTCTCTGTTTCTCTGGTGTGGGAGTAATAATATGTAGGTTTACTAGCAAGAATGAAGAATAGCATGGCCCTAGGCAGGCTGTCAGCTTGATGTCCATTTTCTGTGCCTCCTCAGGCACAGTCCTGAGTGTGTGAGTGAGTGTGTTTCACTAATCTTCTGATTTTGTCATGCCTTGATTTTTTTAAAACTTTGGCTGGTCTGATGTGCATACGTATATGAGACCTGGTATTGATGAATAAGCAAAGACCTGCTGTAGCATGGGTTGTAGAATTACAGTATATGATACAAAATGCTGTCAGGAGACTCTACCAAGCCCCTGGGCCAGAATCTTAATCGCTGTGTGTATGTGAAGTTTTCCTTGTATTATCAGGCATCAGTGTACAAAGAACTACCTGATTTCGCCTCTGCTAGACTGTGTGATGGCAGGGGGTGCGTACCCCCACTTTTGGAGACGAAGTCTCAGTGTGTCAAGGCTCCTGGATTATTCTCTGGTCTTGTGTTGTTTGCACAAGTAGCAGAAGCGGGAGCTTTGAGAGTTCAAGGCTAGCCTCAGGTGCGTAGTAAATTCAAGGCCAGCCTGAGCTACACAAAATCCTGTCTCAAAGGCAGAACAAAACCGATCACAAATATAAAAAGAAGAAGAAGAAAAGGCTTTGATGCCGCAAGCTGTGGAACAGGTCCAGTCTTTTTGCCACAGCGGCCTCATTCTCACGAGGTGCTGTCCTGTCAGGCCCGTCACGCCTGATTAAATGAGAGTTGTCTTGAAATGTGACATTTCTGGCATGGTCATGGTTACAAATTTGATTTAGACAATTATATCCTGTTAGGAAGGAGAACGGATTCCTTCCGCGCCTACTTACAGAACTAACGATGGTGAAAAGGAGGGGCTCTCGCTCAAGCAGAGAGGGGTCCCCGCGGAAGCACAGCCACTCGGTGTGGGTTTGGAGATGAGGCCAGTCATATGTGTTGTTTCTGAGAGAGGTGTGATTTTACATTTTCCTTGGTAATTGGTATAGAGGGATGTGAAATTTCTGTAGCCCTCTCTCCCGTGGATCTGAAGGGTTAGATGAAGCAGGTCATCTATTTGGAGACCGATTTATTCTATTTTGTTAAATATAGCTTCCTAAATAAGGGTGGGAGACAGACCAAGTGGAAGGTGGTTCTCATGAGCCCTTCAAAAGATATTGACCCCAATGAAATGAGCTTCATTCCCCTTGATGACAAGTCCTTGTCCTCTTACCCTGTGACTGCCAGCCCACTGGGCTATACTGTCCTTATCTAGACCAAGACTCAGGCAGCGTCTGGTCTCAGGCTGGATCACATTCGAAGTCCAGGCTCCGAAGCCAGGGGACGGAGGTCTGTTCCAGGCTCTCTCAGGCTCCCTACTCCTGGTGTTCTTCAGGAGGGCGTGGGAGTTTCTGACCTGCTGTTCAGAGCAGAAGCCTTCAGGCAGATGTGAGGGGCTGAGGCCTGTTGACAGGACTGCATGGCTCTGCCCACTCCGCTGTGGGAAGCAGCAGGATCAGGAGGGAGAATAGAATCTGCTACTAAGGTCTCATGCCTGCCACTTGTTAGACTAAGGACATGATACACACACAGGCTTGGCTCACCCCCAGAGCCTTTAGTTTACCCCATACGGCTAACTGGGAAAGAGAGCTTACATCTAGAAAGACTCTGTGTGTGTGTGTGTGTGTGTATGTGTGTGTGTGTGTGTGTGTGTGTCTGCAGTTCAGGGGATCCAACCCATGACCACGGCCATACCAGGCAAACATCTACCACCAAGTCACATGCCAGCCCACAGCTCCACAGCTTGTGCATCCACAGGTGGGTGATGAAAGGATGGTAGTGTATGTATCTGGTTTATACACATGTATGGATATGTGCACCTATGAGCTGGTTTATACACATGTATGGATATGTGCACCTATGAGCTAGTTTATACACATGTATGGATATATATGCACACCCATGAGCTGGTTTATACACATGTATGGATATATATGCACACCCATGAGCTGGTTTATACACATGTATGGATATATATGCACACCCATGAGCACAGGTATGGAGAGGATATCTGGTCCTTTCCTCTGGTTGTCAGCATTTGTCTCTGGCTGAACTTGAGTCAGGCTGGCACCCCGGCAAGCCCAGCATCCTCACGTCTCTGCCCCAGGATCACGAGTGTGTGTGTCTAGCTATGTCCAGCTTTCTTGTGGATGCTGGGGATTTGTGTGGAAGAAACTAGGACAGTTTGTTATTCTGAACTAAGGGCCTAGACCCGAGAAAGGCCAGCTAGCTCGAAGTTGGCAGAGATGTATGGTGGAAGCATTAGTTAAAAATAGATACAGTCGGGACTCAGTGGTTTAGAACACTTACAGCTCTTCTGGGAGACTTGAGTGTGATCCCCACCACCCACATCAGATGGCCCACAACTGCCTGTAACTCCAGCTCGAGGGATCGAATTTCTCTGGCCTCTGTGGGCACCTGCACTGATGAACATATCCACACACAGACACACACAGACACACATACACAGATGTGTACGCACACACACACACCAAAATAAATCATCTTAAAAAGTTAATAAAAGGAAAATAGATGCATTAGCAAGAAGTCATAATGATTAAGAATTCCATTTATTCTTATTTTTCAAAAATAGACTTTATTTAAGCATATTTAAGAATGAATATGGGAGGGCTCACATATTCCTTGTAACCCCAGCTCTTGGGAGGCTGGGGCAGGAGGATTACTGAAAATTTGAGGTCAGCCTAGAGCTGCAGAGTAATATCCTGTCAAAAATAAATAAACACACAAAACGAGAGATGGTTAGGGAGGAAGAATGTGAGCAAGGAAACAAAGAAAAAAAAAATTACCTGGTCCTTGAAGGGGACGGATTTGCCAAAATAGTCCCAGACCCTGGGGATTGATTGTTTCTGAGGACGGTGGCTGCTGTTTCTGCTTCCTCCTCCTCCTCCTCCTCCTCCTCCTCCTCCTCCTCCTCCTCTTCCTCCTCCTTCTTCTTCTTCCTCTTCCTCCTCCTCTTCCTCCTCCTCCTCTTCCTCCTTTTTCTTTTCTATCTTTCTGTTTCTCTTTCTTTACCTCATTTGTGTGATTCAAGTTTGAAACGGCAGGAAACAAAAGAACATGAGGAGTCTGTCAACATATCAACAATAATTACAAGTCACAGGTCACTGGCACATATAAGTAAGCCACCATGTCTTAACCCACTGGCAAAGAGATGGGTTTCTAATGCTCCTAAGCTCTAGGACCCCAGACAACCATCAAATCGAGGAATCAACCCTATTCCATTTTTCAGAGACCATGTCCCGTCGTCCTGCCCTTTGACAACCAACCACCCAGGTCCTGTAAACAATCCAGTCTGTCTTCCCAATGTTACTGTCGTGAAGAGGGCGAATCCAAAGCAGAAGTTGTGCTGGGCACACAAAAGATGCCGAGTCAGCAAGGGGCTGTGCCAGTCCACCCTTGGAGCCGAAGAAGCTGTCCCCCAGACCACTGTTGGGATGGTCTTATTTAGTGGCTCTCAGAAGAACGTGTGTTTGAAAGGGAGGCACCTGTGAAGAGCAGGTGACTCCCAGACTGTCCCGCAAGCCCAGATTTGGGACGATCGTCTCACCAGATGATACATACCACACACTTATATGATACATACCACACACATGTATGACACACACCACACACATGTATCAGCATCGCAATCAGGACAGTCTTTACTATGGTCTGTTGACGGTGGACACAGTGCGAGCCTTATGTGACAAAGAGATACACACGCACAAGGTACCACGAGTCTGCAGGTACCAGGGTGTGAAAGCTGGGTTGGAGCTGCTTCAGGAGGAATTTGGTACAGAGGGAGACTCCGGGTCTGTCTGTTTGTAGCGGCTAATGCCAGACAGTGACACTACCTGTGTGTGTTTGCTAATGCCAGGTGCAAACTGTCTCTGGGGTTGCTTTTCTTTCCCCTGGCTGTGTGATGTGATGTACATTATAATGATAACTGCAGCTGGGAGCAGTGTCATTTGGCTTTCTTGAGTCTGATGACAATAATTACAATATTATGAACAGCTATTCAGCATCAAAGGGCTCCTGTGTGCCTGACCCACTCCTGTTTTAACACAAGGGGGGGCCAGAAGTGTTCGTGTGGGTGTACGTGTTTCATTGTGGGAGAGAATGAGAAAAGCCGCGGAGAGGGATTCCCGCTCCGCAAATATTGACTTCTACTATGTCTACCCTTGTTTTAGTTACAAAATACAAAGTGGTTAAAGCCGCCCAGTAGTACCTGAGGATGAAGTCAAGCCAGCTGGGTGTGGGGCCTCACGTCTGTAATCCCAGCACATAGAAGGCTGAGGCAGGAGGAATGCCTTGAGTTTCAGGCCAGCCTGGGCCAGAGTGAGACCCTCCTTAAAAAACAAAACAAAAAGGAGGTTGGTGAGATGGCTCAGCCGGTCAGGGTGTTTTCCACCAAGCTTCTCCCGTGGTGGAGAATCGGTCCCCTAACACTGCAACAGTATCACGTGAACAACCTTAAATGGGATCTTCATTCTCACTGTCCCTATTTCAGAGATGAGGAAGCTGGGGAGACGAGAGGTGGCAGAAGTGGGTTCAAGTATGGTACACAGTGCGGCAGCCTGGGGTCCAGATGGAAGGGAGAGGGTGTTCTGGGTCTGGGTTGCAGGGGATGTGTGGAGGGGGCAATAGGTAAGAGATCTGATTTTAAAATCCCCACATGGAACTGGGGTCATTGGGGTGGGGAGCAGGCAGGGCTCCAGTTTCAGCCAGCTTTCCTTGTGCTTGAAGAGGGGCAGCCTGGGTTCAGGCTAGGCATCCCACCTCACAGAAGTGTGAGCCAAGATGGGAAACTCTGTGAGTGGAGAGATGCTAGGGACAGGATTCTGGGGACCCTGGTGATTGGTGTGGTCTGAAATTCAGGGCTAGATACTGAGAGCTTTGTGGATGGTGGGAAAAGGCAGCCTGGTCCTTTGTTTGTTCAATGGCAGGTGGTCTCCTTGAGTCCCTTTCGGGGGGCAGCCCTGTGCTGGCTTCCTCATACAAAGACAAGTTAGTGGTGAGAGGCAGGCCTTGGCCCGGAGGGCCCCATTATGACCCCACTTTGGCAAAGCCTGTGTGTGTGGACCTGCCTATGAAAGAGTCAGCCTGAGGACAGAGGCCTTCCTTTCTGGCAGAGGGAACAGCATGGACAAAGGCTCGGAGGCTTGCGGCTGTGTGTGCTGGGGAGGGAGCGAGATACAGAAGACAGAGACAGAGGGGGGGTCTCAAAAATACCAGGGCAGAATGTCAAGGAAAGCTGGGGCAAAGTCTGTGGATTCTATCCCAGACAAACGGGGAGGTAGAGGCTGGTGGTTGCTGCGCAAGGATACCACAAGGGCAGGCCCAGGGATGATAACATAGTCGAAGTCAGGAGGCCGAGAACCCGGAAGGAAGCTGAACAGTTGGCGTAGTTGGGTGGATGGAGGCCAGAGGGTAGTTTGCTGGCCAAGAGGTTTGGTGTGTCTCTCCGGAAGAACTGAAGTCCCTAGAGGACTGTATGTTAGTCAGTCAACAAACACCTTGGGCAGGAGGCGGGTTGTATGAACCTTATTTCTGATGTCTGTGGCTAACTTTAGAGACGAGGAGCCCTCTCTGTTTGCACACTCCAGCTGTTTAGTGAGGCCTCCCTGAGCAGAGCTTGTGCCAGGCACCGGGTGGTGCCAGGGGCTAAGACCAAGGAGGTTGTGCTTTCGTGGAGAGAGCCAAGAAAAGCAGAGACCCAGCAATGACAAGTAGGGTGCCAGGGATTTGAGGGCATGAGAAACTAAGCAGACTAGCTCTTGTTGGGGGCCTATGCTGGACCACCAGGGAAAGTGAGTGGGAGTTGGGGACATGGTGGAAGGCAGCGGAGGTCTGGCAGTGGCCACACGAGGGCTTGGGGACTGGACCGGCTCTGGGGATGTGGCTGAGCTACTGCCTCACTGCGCCTGCCCTTGCAGAATCCACACAGGCGACAGACCCTACAAGTGCCCACATCCTGGCTGTGAGAAGGCTTTCACTCAGCTCTCCAACCTCCAGGTGAGTGCCGACCTGCCCCCAGTCCCCCCAGGTGCACAACGGTGTCCCCTCTTCCAGGGGGCCCAAGAAGGGGGCGGGGTGGGAGAGAGCCGCCGCCTCATGACCCCCTGCTCTGGTCTTCGCAGTCTCATCAACGCCAGCACAACAAGGACAAGCCCTACAAATGTCCCAACTGCTACAGGGCCTACTCAGACTCCGCCTCCCTCCAGATCCACCTCTCCGCCCACGCCATCAAGCACGCTAAGGCCTACTGCTGCAGCATGTGTGGGCGGGCCTACACCTCGGTGAGTCCTGCTGCCTTGCCCCAAGTTCCAGAGCTTGAGGCGGGGCTTGTGGGCCTGGGATTCTGCTCTTCTGAGTCTGGGAATGCCGAGTACTTTCCCCCTTGGGGAAGCTGCAATCCCTGCCGAAGCCACCAGAGGGCACAGTACCATAGCCAGAGCCACCCATTCTTCGGGGAAAGGTGACCAGAGATGGTTCCTGGGTGGGAAAAAGTCCTGCCTGGAAGGGCGTTGGGTAACCACGTAACTCAATTGTGTGCTCGTTTGCAGTTCTTTAACTATTCTGGCACCAGGCCCCCATAGCCAAGAGTGTCCACAGGTGTCAGTCTCCTCCTCTATCAAGTGGCTACTTACTGGCTGACCGGAGGGCCAGATAAACTTCAGGGAGCCACTGACCACAGAGCCAGGCACGGAGGAAGCAGGGAATACCATTTAGATAGGGAAGTTAGGGACCACTGATGGAGACAGGATTAAATACATGATCACACACAAAAGCTGTGGTTACTACTTCAAAGCCAAACTGCTCAGTCTTTAAGGGCAATGATTCCTTTAAAAAAAAAAATCATATCCATAATCTCCTAATCAGGGGCCCTGATGTGTAATAGCCAGACAGCATGAATGTATTCATTTGTCTCTTAAGTGCCACAATTTTGTTTACAGACTTTGTCTTTTTAAGAGTGAGACCCAAATGAGTTGCTATATTGCCCTGGTCAGTGTCTTAGGCCATAGCCTCCCTTACCCTGCTTCTTGCCATGTGTTCACTGGAGACTGACTCCTGGCTTGGCTGTTGCCAGCTGCTTCTTCTGGCGGATGTAGCACCTTGCCATCAGAGGCTCTCTCTGCCTGAGTGCCCATCTTGAGGTGGGAGGCCTGGAGTGGCAGCCAGGGCCAGGGTATGTTACCTTGTTCCCGGTCAAAGCCCAGGTCCCCTCGCCCATCTCATCATGATGCCTCAGGCAAACTCAGTAGAGCCAGTAGGGAACGGGGGGGGGAGGGGGGGTGACTGGTGTGGCTTCACCCCTAGAGGGGGTCAACTAGCTTCCTGTTTCCAGTTGGAATAAAATGTTGAGGCTGGGGCAGGAGGGGCCTCCTTGTCCCTCACTGCGTGCCCAGGGCTCTAGGTAATGCCCCTGCTTATAGAGGAGGAAACTGAGGCTTGGGAGCAGGTTGGGGGAGGTGACTTGTCCTCATGCTAACAAATGGTAGGACTCCATCCAGGTCCCTGCCTCATCGATACAGATGTGTCTGTATCTACAGATGGAGGATGTGACGTTAGGCAGAGTTGGGTCCATATCTCCCTACAGCTGCTGACAGAGTTGCAGGGATTGGGATGGGCGGGGTTAAGGGTGATCCAGCTGAGCCCCCACAGCTCAGTTGTTTGCAGCCCCAACTGGTCTGCCCTCCAGTGGCCGTTTGGGGAACCGCAGCCTCTGTTGTGACGCCTTCTGCATCTCCCATCTGCCCGCAGGAGACCTACCTGATGAAGCACATGTCCAAACACACAGTGGTGGAACACCTGGTGAGCCATCACTCACCCCAGAGGACGGAGTCCCCCGGCATCCCGGTGCGAATCTCTCTGATCTGAGCCCACCTGTGGCGCCGCCCCGCCCACTTGGCAGACGTAGACCTAGGCAGCACCCAGCCTAACTCCCGCTGGGGCCTCCAGGAACCACCAAGCTCTCTCACGACCTTCCCACCCTGCCAGAAAGCTTGGTCCGCAGAAGCCCTGCCTGGTCCGGCTCCTGGGCAGCCAGGCCAACTGCAAGATTCTGGACTGTTCTGGTGGCATCCAAAGACGATCTCAGAGCACTTTGAACCTGTCTGTTGGGTTTTTCTTTTTGTTCCCCCTCCCTCACTTGCTTCACTGTTTCTTGTTTTTAAGTTTGTCTTGGAAATAACAAAAAGGATATTTATTGGCCAGAATGTTGGTGCTGCTAAGAACGAGAAACTAAAAGGACTGGACAGACGGATACAGAGAACCAGAGGGCAGCGTGGGACCTTCTCTGGCCATTGCCTCAGGTCTCGAGGGGAGGCTCGGGCCTGGGGTTCTGGACTTCAAAGGGGACCCTCCCCCAGGTGGGAGGAAGACAGGAGACAGCTGGAGTGAGCCCTTCAGCCCCATCACCCCGCTCAAATTGCCTGAGCCTTGCCCTAGCCTTTACTGGGCAAAGGGTACGGCAGCTGCCAGGGCTGCCTGGCTTCAGGGCATGGAAACAAGAGGGGTCTGGGGAGCCGCGGGACCAAAGGGTGCAGTGACGGCTGGGTGGTATGCCCAGGGAAGTGGGTTGGGGGGGTGCCTGGTGAAACCTGGCTCTTCCCCTGCTGCCCTGAAGACCATCCCAGTCTACCTCGGTGCTGGCCAGGAAACCTATTGGCTACCTCTCCCTCCACTCCAGACTGTGGGCAGGTGGACGGGGATGGAGTGGGCCCGGAGCTAAGACCTCCTTCAGAATTCCCTCCAGAAGGGGACAGTGCCCAGGGAGGAGTTGTCTTTCTCGCTACAGAGGGGGACTCCCCAACCCAGACCCCAGGCCCTGCAGCAGGGATAGGATCCTCCAAAGGAGGTCCCAGGAGCAGACCCTGCCCCCAGACCCCGCCCCCTAGACATCCCAATCCGAAAGCCATGCGTGTCCGTGTATATAGGAACTATGTACAGAGCCCAGAGAAGCCCTTCCACATCCCCCCCCAGAGAGGAAGAAAACTAGACAAAACTCATCTATATATTCTGTATCTGGAGTCCATTTGAATATTAACTGTGTTATTTTTATACACTTTTTAAGCCTTAACTCGACATTGATTTACCAGTTTAACGTTTCCTGGGGTTTCTTTTCCACTGGGAGGGGGGGTTCTCTGCCACCCCCACCCCGACCCCTCTGTTTGACCTGCGTCGTCTGATACTCAGTATTGTAGCTTTCCGTCCGCATGTACTACCCTGTAAATACGCTGTTTCATGCTGTTAACACCCCTTGGCTTTTTTTCTATGGGACCTCCAGGCCACCATATTTAGAAATAGTTACCTTATTAAAAAAGAGAAAACGGTCTGTTGGCTTCTCAGTCTGCATCTTGGTGGCAGGGAGGCGAGGGCAGGTGGCCCTCGGAGCTTCAGGAGAGAAACTTATGTTCTATTAAAGAAGGGGGTAAGCCTAAACAAATCAAACATGGGGGAAGAACACTGAAGGGGGCGAGAGTCAAAGGGACGCACCCTCTGCTCTTTGTATCTCTGACGTGAAGAATAAACTGTACCTACACCTGGGTGGTGGCGGCGTGCAGAGTGCTTGGTGCTGTGTTGGCGCTGTGTGGGAGAGGGGCTGGGCCGCCTTTGCACCACTCTGCCCCAGGGTTGGGAAGGGAGGCCGATGGCCACTTGCTGTTGGCTTCCATGCTTTGTGCTGGAATGCTCCAGAATGCCCCGCGGAAGGGGCTGCCACCCAAGGGAAGCGTTTTGCCCAGTTGAGTGGCAGGGATGTTGAATGTCCCCAGTGGTTCTGTTCCCCCTCCCAGTTCTGGTCATTCATCACGGGAGCCCAATGTAGGAAGCTGTTCTAGTGTTGGAATGGGGCTTAAAAAATATATTCACATGTTTTCCTCCATGGAGTCAGGGTGCTGCTGTCTAGGAAGAACCAAAGGGAGATTCAAGAATGAATCCCCCCAGGCTTATCAAGGTTGATCCTGCGAAGGTATCCTTGTGGAGATGTGACTCAGCTCTGGGTCACACCAGGAAGGAAGAAATGTGTGCTAGACCCTTTGTCACCGAGACACATACCTGGGGCAGTTGCTAGGAGGAGTCATTGCTTTTGACTTACAGTTTTAGTCCATCAGAGACAGAGGGAGGAGTAGGACAAGGCATGTCTTCTATTGTTTCTGGGCCTGGGTGGGGCCAAGCATCCACGTGAAAGGTGTGGATGCGGGGTAGGGCGGGATGGGCAAACCCTCTGCCTGATGTAGCATGAGCGAGCTCCAGTTTAGCATCCAGCCGTGTGCCCGGAGAGCACAGGGTTCTGTTTTCACAGTCCTGTGCCCATGCTGGTCTTCCACACTCCCTGCAGACCTTCCCATGAACTCTGTCCACAGCCTTCTAGGCTTCGCCGAAGCTTCCGCTAACATTTCCAAACTCTTCCACCAACCCGTTCCAAAGGTTTCAGATAGTCACCGCAGCGACCAAGTTCTCGGGCAGAAATGGTTTTGTGTTGCAGACTCTTCATCCTGTGTGTGACCTGTGCCAGGAGGCTTAAAGGAGGCGAGACTTGCTTGGGCCGACGGTTTCTGTCTGTGGCACAGCCCGTGGCTGGCTGGTTCCATTGTTTCTGGGCCTGTCGGGGGTGGAACGTCCCCGTGGAAGGGCGTGGAAGAGCACAGTTGCTCACCTCACAGTAAGACAGAAAGGTGTGAGAGCTACCATGCCCTTCAAAGGGCTCTTGAGGACCTGTTTTCTCCCACCAGGCTCCCCCTAAATATCATCACATTATGAGTCTGTGAATGGATGAACCCATTGCCTGTGTCAGCGCCTTCAAGAGACAGTCCAGTGCGTCTCAGGAGTTGGCTCCACCCTGAGAACCAAGCTTTTTGGGGCGCACTTCATATTGATATGATGTCAGTGTTTTACCGTTGAACCGAGAGTGGATGTGGGCTCACACAGAGCCACCGGGTTTTTGGTAACCTTTCAGGCCTCTGGTCTTTCTCTAATGTTTACCTTCGTGTTCTGCTATGCTAGAAGGAGCTGGGCTCTGGCAGCCGTATCTGGGCCCGGCTCTGCAGCCGTATCTGTGCACGTTCCCCCACTGTCCACGTTATCCACAGCTGATTGGCCAGAGGTGACCACCTGCTCAGTGACTCAGTAAGTACACACACACACACACACACACACAGTCAGTGGTGCGGTGGCTGCCCTGACTCATAAGAACAGATGGTCAGATGGTGTACACCTCTTCCGTTTACACATTCAGGGTGTTGGTGGCCTGTTATCAACCACGACATGTTTGTTCCTGTGTCCACCAGTGTGGAGGTTGAAGGCTAACCCTGAGTGCATTCTTCAGGCTCTGTCCACTTTCGTGATCTTGTTTCCTTGAGTCAGACTCTCTCCCTTCCCCGAGGCTCACTGGCGAGACTGGCTGGCCAGAAGCACAGGAATCTGCCAGTCTTTGCCTCCACAGCGCTGGAATTACTGCAGTCCACCACACTCGAATTTTTTATATGTGTTCTTTGGATCAAACTCGGGTCCTCATGCTTGCGCAGGAAGCCCCTGACTGGCTGAGCCATCTCCTGTCTTCTTGAAGAGCCAACGACTAAGTATTTAGCAGCAAGTCATCGTATGGTGCTGCCTCTCCAGTCAGCGTCTCCATTGTAGCAGGAAGAAGTTAGTTAGGGAATGACGGTCAACTGCACTGGAAGACCCTAGAGACTGGGGTGGCTGTTTGCGGCCAGACTCACACGGAAGACAAAGGAGGCAGAGAAGGTAGAAATGGCCAGAGACTAGAGCAGTGGTCACCTCAGTTCCTGAGACTGCCGTATTTCATTTCCCGTTTGTTCTGGCCTTCAGGAATTTAAGGTGCTGGTGGTGAGACGAGTTATGTACTTGTGCCTCACTGCATCTGTGTCGAATGAGATCGGTAATGGCAACCACTTGGTCGGTTGGATGTAAGGCGAAGTCAACCAGCATGTGTGAAATGCTTGACCCTGTACCTGGCATGTAGCATCAGTACCCCTACATGTCAGTCTGGGCCTTGCTAGCATCTGACCTGGACCCCCTGGTCCCTAGATAGCTGGAGCTGTCTGGGAGTTTCTGGGCAGCATCTGTACAGCTGTGTGGGGTACCTGAGCCACACCCAGATTTTGCCTGCAGTGCTGATGCTCAAAGAACCAAGATTCTGATTTTTGTCTCCTCCCTGGAAATGTGTAGGCAAGTCCTGTAGACCCAAGGACAGTGGTGGCAACCGTGGAAATCTCTGTAGAAGTGAGGTTTTTCTTCCTTCCTGTTTCCAAGAAGGTATCATCCTATTCCACCCTGCATCTCTTGAGTCCTCTCCTTGCTCCTCAGAGAGTCTCCCTCAGCAGCACATGGCCACCCAGAGTATGGGTCTTGGAAATCCTCTCTCATGCCCCTTCCTCCCCGTATAACCTGGAATCCTCGGTTCTTGGGAGAACCCCTCACACTCCATGACCTTGCTTGCAGTGGGGACAGGCAGAGAGAGGGCATGATGTCTTCTGAAGTTCATGGCACCCCACACACTGCAAGGAAGACTCCTGGCTTCCTCACGTTTCCTGTGAACAAACTAATATCCAGCACAGATAGGCAAACTGTCTACATCACACAGAGTTCATACAAGGGAAGGTTCACATGACATCCCTGGCTCATGACTCTCCAGTGGGGCTGAGCTTGTTAGAACTGATGGGTGTCGCAGAGCAAGGTGGAGGGCGACCATTGTCCCACGAGCAGAAGGACTGTGCCAGCTCGTAGCCAGCACCCACCTGCCTTTAGCCACACTTGGACCATTCAGTCTCTCTTTTGGAGTCCAAGGGGCTTGGTGTGTTTATTCACCTGGTGCAGGTGGAAGACCCTGGGAAACAGGAAGGATGGATTGCTCGATACTGGAATCAATACTAGAATGGGCTTGTAAGCAGTATTAGATTGTAAAACATAATCAGGGTTGGCTAGACAAACAGCTAGAATGACTGTCCTATGTGAGAGCAATGAAGGCTGTTAAATGCAAAGCCAGGAGGTTGGGCAAGTAGCTCAGTCAGTAAATTACCTTCCACGAGTTTGTGTGAGTGCGTGTGTGTGTGTGCTTGCGTGTATGCACACACACACACACACGCACGCACGCACGCACATAAGGAGACCAGAGATTGCATTGGGTGTCTTCCTCCACTGCTTCTCAGTTTTTGAGAAAGTGTCTCTCATTGATTCAACCGGGGTCATCCTGTCTCTGTTCTCCCATGACAAGCATGTGCCAATATGCCTGCTGTGACACGTGTCCCTAGGATCCAAACTCAGGCGTTCATGCCTGCATTGAATTGACATTGAATTGACTGAGCTATCTCCCAGCACCCTGTGTCCTTCTTACAGAGAATGAAGCGGTAGTGCAGGCATGGATGAGAAAAGTCAGCCGCAGTAGAAAATACTACAAGGGTCACTTTGAAATTGCTTGTTTATTATAGCATCCCTCAAATATGCACAAGCTATGGTGCGGATGGGGGAGACACCATGGCAGAGCCCCTGACGGGAACGCCTGCTGTGTTTTTTTAGCGGCTCCTTCCTAAAGGGCTGGACTGGTCCAGAGAGACTAACCTCACTCTCCTGCTGCTGACGTGCCAAGAACTCGAACACATCCTGTGTCTGGACAGTCTTGGCTCCTCCTTGTGCCCTGATCTCTTACTCACCTCAAAAGATGCATTCAGTAAGGTCAGAGGTGAAAGGGGCAGGGGGAAGGGGACGCATCCCGTCCTGGGGCCCAGGGTAGTGAATGTCAAAAATCTCTTAAAATTACTGCCAGTGTTAATGATAAGATCTTTGAGCCCTTATCATACCCAGCATTCCCTCTGACATCCACTGTCCTGTAAATAAGCAAAGTCATAGGGGAGGGGGCAACTTGACTCCCCCCTTAGCAGATGTCGGAGCCTCTCTCGCGGCTCAAGCAAAGGGCTGGCCGTTGGACAAACAGCCATCCAGAGTGCCCTCATGCCCGCAGCAGCCGTCTCGCACAGCCCACGGACACCTTGAGAAGGCCACACAACAGTCACAGCTGGTGACTGGCTCCCGAAGGCACAGCCTTTACCATGGTTATCTGAAACAGACTTTTTGCCGTCAAAGCCTTTATGAACTCTAGAAGACTCTGTAACCACGCAGAGAGGCGGTCTAACAGAAGGGGCTGTGAGTATCGTGGAGAAGTAAGACTGGGTTTTATGGCTATAGAATCAGATGTTCAGCGGCTCTTAGTGCGCCAGTAGGGGTGGGGGTAGGGAAGATGGATCAGGCTCTCCCCTGCTACTTCCCTGACATTGCACTGTCTATAAAAGGCTTCTCGTGAATGGTCTTGCCAGCGTTTAAGGGTGAGGGCTGATCTCGTAACACGAAGAACACGTTAGCATAGGGACAGCTTAGCAGTGGCAAAGGAAGAGACAGCAGGAGTTGGCCGAGGGGTCAGCAGGCCAAGCGACACCAGTGACAACTGCTCAGGAGTTGAAGGGGAAGTGCTCACTGGGTCAGCCAGGCCAGCTGCCAGCTGCGGAAGCAGAAGCCAGCAGCCTGCTTTAAGGTGAAGGAAGAGGCAGTTGAACAAGAGGGACAGCAGAGGCCGAGAGGAAGAAGAGCTGAGGCCCAAGAGTGGAGACACGGCAGGCTCTGGTCACAGGAATGGCTCTAGATAGCGGTCAAGCCTCAGATAGTGACGGCTCAGTGGCTGACACACAAGTCACTGGCAAGGTCTGGGGACCCTGATACCTAAGCCCACTCAGAGGCTGTAACTGAGACAGGCCTTGACCCCAAGGCCTAGGAAAAAAGGTGTTTTTGTTTGTTTGTTTGCTTGCTTTTTTGAGACAGGTTTCTCTGTATAGTAGTCCTAGAACTCACTTTGTAGACCAGGTTGGCCTTGAACTCACTGAGATCCACCTGCCTCTGCCTTCCAGCTGCTGGGATGTAAATGGAGATTGCACTTCCGTGTCCTGGCCACCCAGGCCTGGATAATTACAGAAAAACTATATTAATTACAACACTGTTTGACCAAAGACTCAGGTGTATTCCTAGCTAGCTCTCACATGTCAAATTAACCCATTTCTATTATTGTATATCTTACCGCCAGACTCCTGGTTTGTTACCTCATATCTTGCTTCTTGGGCGGCTACCACTGCATCTGCCTGACTCCACCTTCTTTCTCCCTGTATTCAGTTTAGTTTTCCCGCCTAGCTATATTCTACCCTGCCATAGGCCAAAACAGCTTCTTTATTAACCAATGCTAATAAAACATATTCATAGTATACAGAGGGGAATCCCACACCACTGGAATTAAAAGCGTACACTGCTGCCGCCCGGTCCTAGGCAAAAGGTTTAACACTAGGAAGCGCCTCGCGCCTCCTGCCTCCCGCCTCCTTATTACTGTGGCTGCTGCTGACAAACACCTGGGATACAAGAGCTGCCAAAGTAGATTCTGGGGGGAAGAGCTTCCTCTTGCTTTTCCGTAATTTGTATCTGGTTAAAGCAAAGGGAGTCGCCCAGCCGGCCAGCTGTAGGTAACAAGGTCTCTAGGCCCCAGGAACAGGAACCTCTTTTCAAGACCTCTGAGTTCCAAAGTCCCCCTTTCAGAGGCTCTAACTGGCTTCATGGTCTTGAAAGATGCTGCCGCACCGGCCTGCCAGGGGAACGCGCTAGTTTCGCACCAGTGCATACTCCTTGGGCTCCCAGAGCAGGCGAGGGGTGTGGATCTCTGTCCTCCAGCCAATTTGCAGATCCCAGCAGAACTCGGGCGACAGCACCTTGGTGGGCTTGTACAGCCAGAAGAACTTGTTGAGGTGGCTCTCGTCGTGCCAGATCGCCTCGACGCCACGCTCACTGTCCAGCTGCTGGCCAAGCGCACAGTGAGCCGTCAGCTTGCGCAGTGCCGCCACACTGCCCCCGAACAAGGCCGCGTGGTAGTAGAAGTCGCCCTCGCCAAACGACAGGGCAGCCGCGGATCGCTTGTCCCGCTCATAGGGCAGCAGCCACCGCGGCCAGTGGTAGTGCCAGGCGTGCAGCTGCGCCACCAGATCGGCCAGTGTCTCGGGCCCGAAGTTACTGGTGAAGTGTTGGTCAACGTCCAGGCAGAAAACATAGTCAGCCTCTTGCCCCAGCTGCCCTCCCAGCGCCTCGTGTAGCGTGCGCATGCGCGCCATGGACACATCCTGCCAGCGGTTCTCTTGTGGCACACGTTCCACCCGCAACAGGCGACCCTGGCCCAGCGTCATATAGGGCACTGCTTCCGGGCGATCAGTGAACACGTAGTACACCACGCTCTGACCCACCATGAAGTGCTGTTCTGCAGAGTCCAGGAAGTGTTCCAGGTACTTCTCCAGGTACCTGCCAGGCGGTCAGGCCAGGGTCAGTCCCGCCGTGCCCACACCCGGCCCTGCAATCCCAAATCTCCAGCCTTGAGATGGTGAACTAAAAGGTACTGAAAGCTGTCTACCACTTCCACCTGGAAGAGATGTGTCGCCCTGCCCTGTTCCCTTAAACTATGGCCTCTGTCTGACTCCTCTGAGCCAAGAGGAGACTGGCCCACTCTTGGAGGGCAGGAGGTGCTTGCAGTACTCTGAGCCGGGACTAGTCTGCCACTCTCCTGCTCCTTCCACCCTCGTGGCTTTCTTTACTTAGCCTGGAGTCATTCCGTTGTAAATTCCTGAGCTCCACACCCTTCTCCCTCCACCAGACTTCCCTGGCAAAGCCCCAGTACATCCATGCTGTGTCACCTACACCGAGCACCTTCCTTTAGCCATGTGCTAGCTCCCCTTCTCCTTGTTAGCCTATAAAGGTCTTTTATGCCCTCACTACAAAGCCAGTGTCTCCATCTGTGCCAGACCTACTACCCTACCCCAGGCTTTTTTCCTTTTTAGAAGTAGTTCTGAGCCCCCGAGAATGCGAGCCATTGGATGAAGCCTGTGGCTGCAGTAGGAGTTTCTATGGCTCCCTGTCTGTGGACACATCCTCCTGTTCACCACCTAGAGGGACGGTCCCCTCCCGTCCCTCTGTGTCTTACCTGCCTACAGCAAAGACAGTCAGTCCAATGGTGAGGTTCTGCCGTCTTGCCTCTTGTTCGGCTACCTGTGGGTCGAAGGTACCATCCCAAATGATCGGTGCTGCCCAAGAGGTACAGGTCAGGACTTCAGGCCGGGCCCTGGTCACGGAGCAGGAGGAGTTAGGAAAGACAGTTCTGCTCACTGCTTGATCCTTGCCCATTGCTGGGCACTCGAGACCCACAGACCTGTCCCCTACGAAACCCTAGTTTAGAACCAACCAAACACAGACTGGCTGATGTGTGACCTGATGGCACCATCCCTGGCTTCCCAAAGACGGAACGCCTGGGTGTGGGTGAGAAGAGAGTGGAGACCTGGGGCAGACCTGTGTAGCTTGCGGACATTCTTGGTGGGAGAATGGTGACGGCTTACCAGTGTCGCAGGACACCTGTGAAGTTGTCCCTCAGCAGAGGCATTGTGGCCCTAGGGCAGATGCCCATGGGGATGAAGACTTCTAAGGACCTGTAGGCGCCATAAACAGGAGGGGACATTTGGCATGTTGTTTGGTAGGAGAGTCCATAGGAAATTTGCGTAGGCTAAGCCAGCTACCACCTTCCTTCCCTCCAGGAGGCCCTTGGAAAGATCATTTTAACCCTGGCCTTGGGGGAGTACCTGAGACTACCGAGCCTGTATAGGTACAGGCCTAAGAAGCCAAATGCAGTCAGGAGGAGCTGCCACAGGAGTCTCTTCTTGGCCCTGGGGTGAGAGGAGTTGGGGGAGGACTTCAGTGACATCCTTCCACAGGAGAAACCATTGCCTGATTTCCCTGCTCCGTTTGGTTTCTGAGCAGGAACCTATTAGTATTCTAGTCACACAGGAAGGCCTGGCACAAACCCTTCTGCAGTTCTGCGTGGAGGTGACAAATGGCATCAGTGTCTCCCGCATCCTTCCAGGGATGGTCTGTGAGAGGAGGCCCACACAGGCATTGCAGCAAGAGCCCCTTCTTCCTCTGATGTCCCCACAGATGGCAGCACAGGGGACAATCTGTCCTACACCCTGCAGGTTTTGCTGACTATGGTATTTTTCCGATAATATACAACACATATTATACCTCGGAGTTTAAAGACTTACTGTGCTGGGGATCAAACCCAGGGCCTCACACCTTAGGCAGCTTACAACCACTGAGGCTACACGCCTCCCCCCCCCCCCCCCCCCCCCCCCCCCCCCCCCCC